GCTCCTTTTTCGTGTAGCACGATTCTAATCGTTCCTTTAGGTGGTATTCCCACGAACATGAGTGAAGAAGACAGATTGCTTTTTAATCCGTCATCAAACAGTTCCGTTTGGGTGGCAGGGCTGCAGACAACGAGTTCTTTACGTGAACTGTACAGTAAGTGTGCATATCCACCGGCTCAGTTCCGTTGCCAGTGCTGTGTTAACGCACCTGGATTACAAAGATTACCCAAGAATTTGTTTTCTAAGCGTCTGATTTTCTAATGCTAGTAAAGGCTTTACGAATTAGCAATGATAGTGTACGTTTGTGTACTCACTGGTTACACGAAAACAGAAGGAAAAGTTTCTAAAAACCAACACGGTGACCTAACTAGTCCTCAATATCGCAGGCAGCGCGAGAGTGCTACAAACGTCATTTATCGCCAAGAAAAAAAGTAAAAAGCATTCCCAAGTGGTTTTGCTATAGAGCCCTCTCCTTGCACACAGCAGAAGAGGGCACCAGAAGATGTCAATGCCTCAGCGCTGTGTTGGGACTGGGTTCGGGACAGCTGACAGAAATCACCCCGAAATAACCCCCTTGGCAGCCTCCCCTGGAACAAACCAGCGGAAGTGTGTTACTGCGTCGGCTGGCAGACTCGCTTCGAGGTGCTGCGTCTGCTCCTCCAAGAGCGGCGACACAAGTTAGATCTTTAAACCTGCAGATGAGCAGACTCCATATGGGAATTGAAACATTCGGAAAAACAGCGAGTGGGTGTTGGGAGCAAAGCGCAAGGAAGAGAGGTGGTGTGATTTTGTTCCGCGCAAAAAAAAAAAAAGTTTGTGTGTCACGATTCGTTAAGTAAGCTTCTGTTCTCGGTGTCTGGTGCGGTTTCTGGAGTAGGAAGGAAAAATAAAATCAGTGCAACGCAGTTGGGCTGCCTTTTTATCAGGGGGACTAAAAACAGGCGCTTCATTCTCCGGCTTATAACAACAGTCTCCCACGTTTCCTAAAGGCCTGCAATTTTTAGAACGGAATCCTATTAATGAAAAAGGGCCACCTTGTTCGTGGGTCGTCCGTGCACTTCTGCTAGCGGTGTTGCTCTCGCGTTTCTGATTGCCGGTGTGCCCCTAAGCGCTCTCTTCTCCTCTTCAGCGCAGGTCTCTCTACCCGGCTCTGCGGAGGAGGGCCGGCCAGGGGGAGGTGTCTCGTTGGTTCTAGCTGTCTGCCTGTGAAGAAACAGATTGAAAACAACCTCCCGAGACACACCCAGAAGCCCTCCAAGAGCAGCTGGGGGTGAACCGACCAGCGAAAGAGCAACAGACTCGCTCCTGTAACAGTCAGAAGCACGCTCCCAAGAACATCCAGCAAAACGCTAACATGCGATTTTTTCAAAAACGGTCCTATACTTATTTTACAATTGATTGCATGTGGTGTTGTTGATTTCATTGAATGAGAATTATTAACTGACGTTGGGGACGGATGACACTGACAAATCAATCTCACACAGCTGTACCTAATCACCATCACCACCACACTGAACTACATACGCATCCCTTCACATTCGCCTCCACCTTGCAGCTGCCCCTGGGTTCACTGTCTGAATGGGGCTCCAGCCTCGTTGTCCTGTGGCCGGGAGACTACCCGTTAACCGAGCGGGTTGAACTAAGACTTTTCTCACCACGTATTCCAAGCGTTCACAAAGCATCCAATTCATGGATGTTGTTGTCCCCAGTGAATTGCTTTCAATTGCCACCGCTTTACTCACATGTAGTTTATGATTCTTATTACCAAGCTCCCTCCTTCTGATTGATTTGCCTTTTACTGGTTAGCCTTCATTATTGTCGTTTAAGTGGTCGAATTGTTTACCCCCTTTTATACAATTGTGGTTTTCAAAGGTTATATAACCCCCTCCCCACCGATGAAGGCACTGAGCAAAATAAGCAGGACAGAAATTGTTTTTAACGCAATTCTGAAGTGCTGCTCTGGATGTGTTTCTTTTCCGCCTCCTGCACCTCAGTGAGCCTGTGAATTTTCTCTTGTCGCTTTGGTTCAGGTCTCTCTGCCTATGAACTGATGGAGCTTGCTGGACTGGGAGACCACTGCCCCCATGTGTGGGGATCTGGTTAGTGCAGCATCACCCTGCTGGAACCGGAGAGAACACACCAGCCGTAACCTTTGTGTTCAGAGCAGGCAACTTTAATTGTATACGTCTGCTGGACGATCTCTACACCCTAATAAACAGTGAGACGGCAGGGAAGTGTCACGTTGATGCTGTTTGCATGACTCAGGCTTGAGGAGGTCCAACTTTCATCCGAAATGGGCAGAGCCATAAAGAAATTATGGTCAAGACCTTTGCACCTGTTCCCATAATTCCAAATTCTGTTAAACATTTGGATCCTAGTCTCTCCGGTGGTAATGCAGGGTCGTTGTGTGTGACTAATCTGAACTAAAACACTACTAGAGGTACAGGAGATATAGTGTTTCAGTCTTGCAGAAGGGTCGGTCTCCCAACTTCAGGAAATGCAGACAGGAATGGCTTTGTAATATCTGATTACAAAAAGAAAAATAATGTGATACTTTTTTTTAGGTGTGCAGCATCTTCAAACCTGGTTAAACAGTGCTTAAAAGTCTCCAGTAGAGCGGTCCAGAGGTGAATGTGACAGGGGGCTGCAGAAGGTGATGTCTCCTTGGAACTTGGAAGAGCTGTATTTCCTGTGACAGGAGGCCTGGCCTCTTGGCGTTTGTCTGACACTTGGCTGAGAGTGGCTAAGCGACAGTCCCAGCAGGGATTGTCACAAAAGGACTACAATGCAGAATTGTAACATGTGTTTCTCATGCCCAGTCCCTTTCTCTGTGGCCTAGAATCTCCCTGACTACCATCCAGGGGCTGAATCTCTTCTTCAAGGGGAACTGCAGTCCCAACCTCTCAGACCGGTTATTACATCTCTGTAACAAAATAAATGATGGTAGTGGTCAATCCGACAAATTCCGAATTAAGCACAAAATCGTGACTTCGTGAAAGTACCGTAAGTCACCATGTTGTCGCAAAACCATGGTCTCACCACGGGCGAGAGTGAGAGTTTGTGAGAATGGTGTCGTGAAGGGGCCGTTCCTGCTCACTAGTCCATGCGATGGAGGAGCAGATAAGTCCAGGTTGTGCAGTAGATATTTCACTGCAGAAAAGTTCCAACATGATCCGTATGCAGATTTTAAGTTGTATTTGTGGGCAATACCATGTTGAAGTCATGATCGATATTTCTATTGGATTAAGACTAGATTTTTATTGTCCCCTGAGGGAATTTTTTTTATGGACACACAGCACTCCTGTACATTTAAATATAATGCAAACAAAAAAAAAATAAAAACATTGAACATTATTCTATTACAAAAAAGTAAGAAAGAGATGTGCTCACAAGCCTGCTTGTTTACAGTGTAACAAGGCTGCTTCACAGCACCAGAAGTTCTGTTGCCTCGTTCTGAATCTCAGAATGTGGCTCTCTGCAGACCTGGAAATGTAATCTGTTTTGTGATGTAAATTGGAGGTTTGACACTTTACTGTGTACATTTTACTTTTATTGTGGTTTGAAATGCACTGATCAATGCGGATTCTTTCTAACCCAGAAATATAAAAAAAAGCATTTCAGTTCCCCTTCATGCCCCAGTTCAGCTGAAATGCCAGGCACTTCAAAGAAAATTCTCCTCTCCTGAAAAAGGTCTTTGTTTGTGTGAACAAAGATTAAAGGGTTCTAAAATACACTTTGGAGAGACACACACTGGCACACTATCTGTGATGTAAAATGTAAAAGTTCAGCTTGTCTTGTGTCTTCTCAACTCCTAAGGTGAAATGGTGAAATTCTGCAGTCTGTCAATAAGATGGGCTATAGAAAATGCAGAATTGTCACTTAATCAGGGATTGGCACTAAGTCTTGCTCTAAGCTTTGGGAAGACTATCACTGAACGTGAGATATAAAGAACATACCGGCAGTGAGCCGAACTTGATCTGGAATTAGGGAAACTCCAGCATTGTCTGCACTGCTAGAAAAATGTGACTGTTAATTACGACGCAGTGCCTTAAAGCTACCTATGTAATACCTGGCACCCAACACAAAGAAGAATGAAGCAGGGATAAAGAGTGAAACAAATTATTTTAATATGAAGTCTATGCTGATTTTTTTTCTCCTCTTTAGGTAAGTCATGATTAACGTGTTCTTCGATGTTCGGTATTATTAGGACGCTGGACATGGTTGTTCCACTCTGGCGAGCACTTGCTTCCTATTTACGATTCCTTAATGATCTCAATGGAGCTGCGGTGACCTAGGACATCTCGTTGGGAAACAAATTTAGTTCCCAAAGGAAGGTAAAAGTAGAACGAAATACCTGGATCTCTTTTTAAAAACAAAAACCTTACCTGAGCCTTTTTGCTCGGAAGCTTAAAAAATAGAAAACAAATGAGGTTGGTTCAATCTTCCAAACAGACAAAGTTGAAGTGCCTCCTGACTACACAGGTCTGTTTTGACAGCTCACATTCCTTGTCAAAGGTAGGGGTGTCTGTCTGCGTTTTCAAGTGCCTGGGGGCGTGCATCCTTTAATCACGGCTTATTTTACACAATTAGCAAAAAGATAGGTTTCTTTTCATGAGCAAAAGCAGATGTTGCCCCCTCGCTCATGCTCTTTATGACATCTACAGATTTTTATTATGAACTTTTCCGATAAAGAGCCTCAGAATCTGTGCCTGGGAGCTAAAATAAAACCTTTCATTTCTTGTGATGTATTTGGCTATATATCAAGCTAATGTCTTCATATCCATGTAAATGTCACACACTGGCATTGAGTCTGTAGGTAAGCAGCTTGAGGACTTAATCACAAACTCGCAGCTCACAAGCAGGTTTGAAGAATCATGTTCTGTGCAAAGGGTGTTAAAAAGAAGTTTCAAACTATAATCCAATAAACACTGCACTATGTGTTACTCACATGCTTTAGTTATTAACCTGGATTGTGCAGGATTTACAAAGTAATACAAGATGTATGAAAATGACAGTGTTTTGGAACATGAAAATGGAATTTGAATGTTTTCTCATCTGAACTTTGAATGTTCTATTCTGTACATTTTACTCTTTATTCATAACGTCTTAAATTATGCAGTGGAAGAGTGTAAAACATTCTTTGACAAAAACATAGATCAATATCAATCAATATGTAATAGGGACAAGGACCTACATGGGCTGTCATTATGTCATACAGTTCAATTTAGTTTGAGTTAATTTATTACAGATTTGTATTTTGCCTATAGAAACGTGCCCCTGATTAGTTACTATACAATTTGAACATACAAATGTTCACAAGCATCAAACAAAACAGAGAACAAGGTGAGGTCCATTTAAGGTTTCAAGATCAGAATCCTGTAAACTAACAGATTAACATTATAACACAAAATAGCAAGGATTAAGACAACAAAACTAGACTCAATGCACACGTGCAGAAAAAAAACACATGCTAAATGAAAATTATATCCCTGCTTCGGTATTCTTCCTGAGTTTAAAAAAATATTATAAAGTAGCTGGAGCAGGCTTGAGATGAACAGTCATCCTCCTCTTTCTTCTCTGCACTCTTCAGATCTGTTTAGGTATGAAAGGAAGTGGAGTCTGTTCGTGGTTCAAGAGAAAGACGTGGAGTAGCAGAGCTCAAGCAGTTTGCTCCAATCCCCACACGGGGGCGCAAATCACGCACTGTGACACTTCTGCAGGACTCTGCTTAGACTGCCCAGATCATTTTTGTCATGTGGTTTTAAAACATGTCCAATATTTAAAAACAAGAAAAAACATTTCTAGATACAAGAAAGATTAAAATGAGAAGATTTCACCAAAAAACAACAACAACAACCCTCTCTTTTTTATCAGACTAAACCGTTTGATAAAGTCAGCTACAATATATATATAAAAATGTCCTGGTGTGGATCAGTGAAATTGCTGCAGTCCCAATTCCAGGATGCAGAGCTCATTTCTAACTCTCCACCACAAAGCCATGGAGGATCATTCCTGTGGTTGACTAGTGAAGGCACAATCTTAAAGCTGTGTTAAACCTTTCACCTGACCAGTATCTGATGGATCCTGTTCTCATTATCAGCACATATGGAAACAATGAAAGGTTAAAGTCAGAAAAAAATATAAGGTCCCTGAAGGCTAGAAGCAGTAGAAGCAGGTAGAAGCAGGCAGCCAAATCAGGACGGTCCTGCTCAAACCAGACATCTACAGCCCTCTGTCCACAAAGGACCAGAGTGCTAGGACCTGTGTTCACAGCCACAGGCCACTCAGCCTTAATAAACTGACCTGACAGCTTCCTTTCCCACATTTGGTCTCACCTGGACTGAGGTAGGTAGGATACGGGGAGTGACACACAGTCCAGGACAAACAGCACTCTTCTCTATAACAACACATGAAGCACGGCGACTCAAACAAATCAAATCATTCAAGGAGTAAAATAAGAAAGAAATCACCCCATGAAATTCACCTGAATCGATATTTTCTATCCTCAGTGTCAAAAACATCCTCAAGAAGTTCCTAAAAATGACATTCACCTTCCAGAAAGTGATACAGAACCGCAGACGCTGGGGGACAGAAGCAGACACGAAGAAAAGCCTTTTCAAAAATGGAGGATTTTCTTCTAGTGTTGACGCGTCGTTTGGCATCTTTAAAAGCCACCGAAGGAGACAAAGGTGAATCGTTGAATTCTTTTTTGCCACGAAAGTCCTCTCGAAGACATCTGCTCAGGGCGTCGGAGCTCCTGTGCGTCCGTGGGAGGGCAGGAGCAGAGGAAGTGAGGCCGCTCAGAGCATGCCTGGTTTTGTCTCAGCAGGAAGGAGGGGCGAACCAGCACGACGTGGCTGAAGACTGAGGAAGTACGCTTACAGACAGTCGCCCCCTTCGCTCTGGACATTAAATCCCACGGCCTGCACAGCATAAGCCCCACTCTAGATGGTCTGCTTAAAATTCCCAAATCGGATCACCAGATGGGATCCCTGTGAAAATGAGCAAACAATGAGACACAGACTTGAACCCCTGAATCCCTGGTCACCATACCCCGTCCTTAAAAGATGACAATTCCTGGCTAATTCTTCCACATCTCAAGACATTTCGAAGGACAGCAAAGAGGAAAAAGGAACCAGAGAATACACAGATGATTAAGGTGAAGTAGGTGGATGATAGCTGGTGGAGAACTTTAAAGCCTAGAGTGAAAAAATGTTGTGGGTTCTTCACTGGAACAGACAGATACAGCTCAAGAATCTGAGCTGGAAGATTTCAGATTCAAAAAAATGAATTTGGTTTCATTGTTCAAAAAAGTCGCTTTCTACATTTTTTAGGAAGATGTGCCAAAAAAAACATTCGTTCTTTTTAAAAGCGGACATGGGCATGTTCCTAAGATGTATTCAGTCATGAAGATTAACCATTCCCAAAGAAATATCTTAACCTGTGGAAGCAGGCGAGAATCATGAGCACAGCTGAGAATCTCAGCAAGCTCTTAAAAAATCAGAATACAGTAAAACATTTCTTCTCAAACAAAAACACTGTCTGGCCTTTATCAATTGATCACACTAATCAGCAGGAGGACTAAAGCATAGACGCGTGAGCAGCACCTAGGCAGCGAAAGAAAGTGACGCTCCAGCACCTCAAGAGGAGCTCTTCAAACCTGTTTGCATCACACAAGCAATCTGGCCTCTTGAGGGTCTGCTAAAGCAAAGGGTGAAATGAGAGCCTTGCAGAAGCTGTGTCGGCCAGAGCTGAGAGAACAGTGAAGCACAGAGCAGTACCAGAACAGGCAGGGGTTGAGTGAGCAAATATCATGCCTCTAAATCCAGCTGTGCACTGCTCAAGTCAAGAATGATACCCTGCCGTACTCCAATCAATGAGTAGGAACAGAAATATCTGCTAGTGGTAAATCAAGCAAGTGAGAAGGTGAAAATAGTCATGTTTTAGAATATCTAATGTAGAACGTGTGCCTAGGATTGCACAATGGCTTGGTCTTCCTCAATTAAAGATCGATTATTGTTAGAGGAGTGCAGAAGTAATATTTTTAAATCTTTACAAGCACAAACACGAACACACCCCTACCCAGGCAGACCCAGGCAGCAAGGGGTTGCATGATGCTTTGTCACAGCATTTTCGCGTCAGGGGCCATCTTCTAAACTTTTTGACTTGACTTAAGTGAGGACACTTTAACCAGCTGAATTGTTCTTGAACACTTCTGTGAGTGGAGGCGTGTCAACCCGGAGGAAAACGGGATGAAAACGTTGTGCTGCTGCAGAAGTGAAGGAGCTGGGTCTCTCTGGGGCAGCGTTATTCTGCCACAGCGGGCTGTGAGAGAGGGCTCTTCGGGCAGGTGAGAGGGTGGGTGCGTGGCGCTAGAGCTACAGCCAGGGAATCGCGTACTTACACAGCACCACGCTGGCCCGTGGGTTTGCCTACTTCTTCTTCCCTCCTAATGACATATTTTCAGTTTTTTTCTTCTGCGCCTCGTAGAACAAAAGACACACCTTTATGTTAGCATGTGGGTCACTCACATTACCTGTTCTTTCAGCCTGTTCTTTCAGTTCAGGCCAGGAGAGACACGGTCAGGTTGTTGGCTCAGACATGGAAATGTGAGTGCATTGAAAGTGGGCATAAAGAACCGTTACTGTGAAGGAAGAAAACGTTTTACCACCTGTTTACAAATGTCAGGCTGGACCTGAAGTGCACCCACAATGCAGTTCACCTCCGCTACGCGTGCTGATGTCAGGATGTGACAAACAAGGTTTTTTTGGAACATGTCACCGCATTGACGATGTTACGTTATAAAAGTAATAGCAGAAGCCCTGCAAACTGACTTACCATTAATCAGCAAGATCCACAGCATCTGCTGTCACAATAAAGCCTGATCCATCAGTCAGGATCCCAGCCATCCCAGTCACAAACTGTTCTCCCCCCATGAGCTCTAGAAAGCTGTATCACTACCACTAAAGCACGGACCACTAGGCTTAAGAACAGTGTCTGTCCTATGGCAGTACACGTCAGGAGCAGCTAATTGCACAGATCTTCAGAATTCAGTGCACTTCTGCACTCTGCACTCTGCCACATATCTGTTGTCCTTGGTGTTCATTGTGCTTATGGCTCTGGAATACCCGCTGTGTGTCGTTGTGCTACGTTGTGCGCGATCATTATTTATTACAGTTTTCTGTCCTGTGCACATTGTGTGAAAGTGGTGTTTATTGTACTGCCTGAGAGAACAGTGTGAATAATCCCAATGTACATGTACATAGAGCACATAAAAAATCCCTCCACTCTCTATGGGTCGCAATGCTACACAGAAGGGGCGGGCAGTGGAGCCGTTGGCCTCACTGCAGTACGGAGGAGGGCGACAGCGGTGGCGAGGACGGGGGGCTACCTCGGTCATGGCGTCGTCGATCTGCTTCAGCTCCTCGTAGTGGTCGCGGGAGTCGCGCAGGGGCTGCACCATGATCTCCTCGATCTGCGGGAACAGCTGCCCGGGAGCAGGCGGGACAGAAAGGACGCGGTGAGCAGGGGCCGGAGGAGCAGTTTGCTCAAATGTTTTGAGGAGTTTTTTCTTAAAACCGTGGGAAGCACATGGAAGCGTTTACTGCCAGTTACAGCCAGCAGAAACGCCCGGCAGTCTGCGTCTGACGTTTCTCTGGTGAAGGTGTTTCACTTGTAAAGAAAAGTATTTTTGACTTAATGCTGGTGCCGCTGCTAGGATGGGTAAAGCTAAACCAGGCCAACGAGTCCAATCAGTATTTTCTTCCATAGTGCGAGAGTGACGTCAGCATCTGTCCCTGCCAGCTCTTGCTGCAGCACTCTGGGTAGTGTGCAGCAGCGAAAGAGGTATCCCACTGTCTTTCACGCCACGCACCTTCATGACAGTTTCGAACATGGGGATCAGGACAAACTTGATGAAGCCGATCTGCGCTGTGGGCTTGGTCACCTTATCCCGGTCCATGAAGGGAGCCACTGGGAGCCCCTCTGACTTTTCCCGGTCACTCTGCCGCAAATCAGGAAAACAGAGTGAGATGCATACAGACGATACCCCGAGATGAGGCCCAGAACAGCCAAGGTGTTGTGAGCCTCTGCGTACACCAACTAAGTAGTAAGACATAAATATTGCTGATGCGGAAAACTCCGGGTCTGCAGCAGATGTTCATGGTCAGAGTTCTGTGCCAGAAGAGCTTTTAAAAGCATTTTTGTTGAAATGCCCTGAGCAGCACACAACCAAGGCATTGAAACACACACTATAGAATCCTAATACTCACTCTGTACAGAAGGCAGTGTGTAGAAATAGAGGCTGTCAAGATGCCACATAGGTCACCTAACAAGTAGCACAACGAAAAAAAATCTCCCAAAACAGACTTCAGATCCTGAGCACCCACTCTCCTTAGAGAGCACGATTTCGTCTTGATGCCACGGCCGGTTAGGATTTCGGCTCTGTCCCATTCCTGGTTTTGAAAGTGCTCGGAAGAGAGAGGCCGCAGGAAGGAAGGTCCGTCGGGACGCACTGACCTGCATGAAGTACTCCTCCAGCAGGCAGTCCACCCAGGGCTCGGCCACCTCCGTCGGCCTCACCTCGTTGGAGATGTCACAGCACTTGATCAGCACCATCTTCAGCTGGACGGGGGAGAAGCACAACCGACCTTTTCAACCCAGCCAGGCACTGCCTCCGCCCCCTGCCCTCACCTGCGTACCACCCCCTGCCAGAATATGTCTGGCATGTTCGGCATCCCACTTTTCTGTTACAAGAACCACCACCAAGAAAACAGTCCTAAATAGAAAACACGTCATGATGCAGCACTCAGTCAGTGTCCCATGACTAATACCAACTGGGAGTCCAGTGCTACCTCCTTTTAACTGTTACACAAAGACAGAGTTGAATTAAAGGATCTGGGCCGTAACTGCAAAAGGTAAAGATATTGCAAAATGTCCTCCAATGAGATTCTGTTTGACCCACATAATAACACCAGCTGTCAGTACTGGATACAATAAACACTGAGTCCTGTGCTGTACGTACGCAGGTCACGTGCTCCTCATTGGTGAAGTCAAAGTTGTCGACCTTCTGTTTGAAGGAGTCCAGTATCTCGCCGTGCCGGGCCATGTCAGTGGCCAAGATCAGTGTGATTATGGCCTGCGAGGTCAAATAAATCAGTAAGCTATTTTACATGTGGGTTTCATTGTGCTGTTCTATAACAAAAATAAATCAAATCAAAAGCAGAATTTTATCCACAAATCTTGGAGATCTTTGAGGAATTATTCTCAATTCCTTTCTTTCCCAGGTGGTGTAAACATTTGTAACAGAATAAATTATGAGAAGATCAAACTGTTCATCTTCTTTAATTTAACATTTACTTATTTTAGAAGACTGCAAAAGGGGACCTGATACACAAACAAACCACTGACAAAGTGGACCCCGAGGACTTCTTCAAAATTAAGGACACAAATGAAAATGATGGGGAAGTGCATTTGAAAGTGCAAGAATAAGGTGTCCTGAAAAGATTATGGAGTATTTAGTGAAAATTTGGCTGAGCCCACTTGGCTGTGAGCTGACCTCCTGGCTGGGACCCCCCTGCAGAGTGAGGAGTGACTAAGGGGCAGCTGCAGAGGAGGAGCTGGGTCAGAGGAGGGTTGCAAAATAATGTACAGTATGTGAGGGAGAGAAGGGGATTGTGTGTAGTATTTATAGTGTTTAGGCGAGGAAATTACGTCAAGATTTATTACAAATGACTGACAGTCTAATTGAACTTGGTTGTTACCATCCCACCCAAAGCTTTGTTAGAAACTCTACAAAGAGGCACCATTTTACACAAAGAGTGATGGGAGTATGTAACAAGCTGCCCAGCCATGTTGGTGAATCCTATTGAATGAGATTCTTGGAACAATCATCTACTAACTACTAAAAGGGCTAGAGGGGCCAAATAGCCTCAAGCTTGTAGCTATTCTTAAGATTTAATGTCATGTTTCCATCAAGGGAATCTTAGGAAAACGAATGATAGCCCATTATTGGTAATGTGAATGAGAAGGGCAGTGATCAATAAGGTGCTGTGCAAGTTCCGAATGGTGGGGCTCTCGTCCGTTCCCAGGTAGGTCCCTCCCTGGATGAGCATGCGAGCGAGCCGGCGATGGGATCCGTTGTCCCGGGATGGAGAGGCTTGTGGAAAGACGGCTGCCCTCACCTGGCGGATCTGCTTGAAGACCTCGGGCTCCACGTTGGCGAAGATGTTGCACTCAGGCTGGGAGAGGATCTGGAAGGCCACAGCGCAGTGGTGGTTCTCCAGGGGGGAGATGTCATTGTAGCGCACGGCCAGCTCTGTCCGGGCATTGATCTGGTAACTAGAGACAGAGAGCCAACGGGTGGGCGTGTCGCCAACGCAGGGACCTTCGGTCTGTTCGCCTTTATATGACAACAGCAGTGCAAAGTTGCCAGATCACATGGATCTTCCATTTATGATACTCATCTACGACAGTCCCTCTGCAGTTTTGCAAAATAAGGAGAGTGATTTTGCCTTTCCAAAAAATACATGTAGTGAAGTCAGCATGATGACCTATCCTATGTGGATGTGCTTTTCAATGCACACTATGTAAAGCACATGTCTACATCACTGCTGGAAGGAGTGGCTCTTACTCTGTTGCTCTTTTAGGGATACCTCTGGGGAACAGGGCTCACATCCTTACTGGGGGAAAGTCATCCTCATGCTGGTCAACAGAGCACAGGCACGGCTCCCTGTACTGTCAGGCCCACTCACGTGTTGTTGTAGCCTGGATGATCCAGGTCATGGCACACTGCTGCGGTCATGAGGATGCCCATGTCTGTCAAGGTCAGCTTCTCCTGGACAGTGCAAACAAGGCTTGTTTTGTTTTTTTAATTCTGTGTGCGCTCCAGACATATCTGGAATCTGATGCACGCAATGACCTTAAACAAATGACACATTTTCTGCTTCTAACAGACACTTTCTAACAGCGAAGTCTGGGCTTGAGTTTCTGGTTATTAAAGATATAGTGCTAAAGACAGTCTGAGAATGGCTGCCTTTAGCAGGGCTGCTGAGATTAGGGTTGGGTCGTTGAGGAACTTTTGGTGCTTTGTTTCTGCATATCCACAAGAAAAAAGTTGCCTGACAATACCAGAGGTTACAAAGGAAAAGCAAAGGAAAAAAACACAACACTTCGGCAACCGAAAACTTATCTTCTTCTTTTTTCAGCATGTAATAAACCTTTACTTGTTCCTTTGAGGCCTGCACATGCTCACACAGCTCCCTGCTTGAACTACTTCAATACCAGAGGCTAGTCAGGTGCAAAGCCAGGGACGTTTTCTCTTATGAAATCCACCAGTATTGAAAGAAAAATAAAAAAACAGCAGGAGAGCAGAACTATCTTTCTGTGTTTTGGGGAGTACATGTCACGTGACAGCCCTAGTCAGGCTCTCACCTGAAGATTGCACAGGTGGATCATGCCATACATCATCTGGCTGACGCAGAAGCAGTGTCTGAAGTTGTGGAAGGGGTTGTTGCGGTAATTCTCCTGAATGCTGATCTGGAACAGCAAAGACACAGA